TGCCAGGCGCTGTACATTTGCATTGCTATTAGGTGTATTACGGTAGCGCCTAGGCACCCCAGCCATGGAGCAGGACCCCATCGTGCCAGGCGCTGTACATTTGTATTGCTATTAGGTGTATTACGGTAGCACCTTTGTGCCCAGCCATGGAGCAGGACCCCATCGTGCCAGGCGCTGTACAAACACGGAACCAAAAGGCAGTTCCTGCCCCAAAGGGCTTCCAATCTAAGGCTAAGACACGAGACGACAGCTGGGTGGCACAAGGGCACAATTGGCCAGCGTGATGGGCAGTGCGCTCAGCACACCAGCCGCTGACCCACAGGCAAGCTTTTTGCAGGCATCACATGGATGTTCCAAACTGGGCCAGTCCTGCCATCTGCTTGGCAGGGCGGGGGTCCCCCTGCCCCACCTGCAATCAGGGACTGAGGCAATTCCCTTCCTCCCGCCTCCCTTAAAGACACTTGGCAACGAACACAGGCCGGGAGGCGGGTCTGGGAGAACGGGGACTGTGTCGCAGGGAGGCGGGCAGGCAAAGGAAGGGAAATGCTGGCGGGCGGGTGGGGGGCACCTGGCATTAGGGGTGTGGATAGAGCAGTGCTTTCTCTTCAGAGCAGTGTGCCCTACTGCATCACACACTGGCCTGGGACCTGGAAGATGTGGGTTCTAATCTCAGCTTGATCACAGGCAAATCGTGCTTGCTTTGTGCCTCAGTTTCCCCACCCATAGAACAGGGCTAATGATACCGACCTCCTCTGGAAAGCCACTTGAGATATACTAGGGCTGATTATGATTAAGGCCTGAGCTTGCTGGAGGAGATGAGCGCACGGCGGGACATTTTATAGGGTGCAGTGGGGAGAAACAGAGAGAGATCAGCTGCAGCTAAGCCGGACGGACACTGTCCAGCAGAACTCTGGAGCTGGGCACGAGCAGTCACAGGGAAATCCGCGCCCACCGGGGAACCGCAGGGCAAGAATCCACCCCTTGAAAATCTCCCCCCACTCTGATCTGACTTTAATGTCATCGGTGCGGGACGAGCCATTTCCCCAGACCCCCCATAACTGCTTTGTGACCCCATGGGTGTGACAAGCAGGGCCTACAAGAGACACTGGAATAACTGCCCTCTCCCCACCCTGCTGAGCGTCAGTGATCCCCCAAGCCATCGGTTTCATAGCCCATCTAGACAGTGTGGCACAGTAGCCAGCTGTGGGTCAGACCGCCTTTGGATCAAGGACCCATGTGCTTCTGAGTGCATGGAAGGGGGCCTTCCCGTGTGAGATTGAGGGAGACTCTAACCCACCAGATTATAGTCGAATGCCGCAACCCCTTAGCCACTCCACCGTGAAAAGGCCAAGGGGTACATGGGACGATGGGGCCTGATCCCGCTAATTTCCCTTGGAGGTGGGGTGATCCCTCCAGAGCCGGGCCAGATTGGCGAAGGGGAGCTGTGTGGCTGGACACACTGCCCCAGGGACTCAAAGGGGAGAGGGGGAGGCATCTTCTCCCCGGCATTAAATCCAGACGGAAATTCTCTGAACTCACGACGGTTATTTTAAACCCGAGGACGAGATTTTTCACGGTTATTTTATTTTGTTACAAACAGACGGAGCTGAATCCGAGCGAATCCAGCCCTGATGGCGGGAGATTCTGGGCCCAAGTCTCAGGAACGCTGAGCCCTCTGGGACGGCAACGTCCCCCCGAGAAGCTTCCCCCGCCTTGCTCAGTGAGAGTGTCCCCGGCTGCTGTGCATGACGGCCCTGCTTCCAG